CTTGCCAGCATTTGTAACTCACTGTCTTTTTGACTACAGCCAGTCTAACTGGGAAGAGATGGTATCTCAATGTAGTTTTAATTTGCACTTCTCTGATGACTACTGATGTTGAACATTTTTTCATGTATCTATTGGCCATTTCCACGTCTTCCTTTGAAAAATGTCTATTCAGCTCCTTTGCCCATTTTTAATTGGGTTATTTATTTATTTATTTATTTATTTTTTACTGTATAATTGCTTGAGTTCCTTGTGTATTATGGATATTAATCCCTTGTCTGATGCATAGTTAGTAAAAATTTTCTCCCACTCTGCAGGTTGTCATTTCAACCTGTTGATTGTTTCCTTTGCTGTGCAGAAGCTTTTTGGGAAAAGACTGCCTCTTCAACAAGTGGTACTGGGAAAACTGGATATCCATATGCAGAAGAATGAAACTAGATATACTAGATATGCATCTCTCACCATACACTAAAATCAACTCAAAATGGTTTAAAGACTTAAGTATAAGACCTAAAACTGCAACATTAGTAAGGGAAAATATAGGTGAAATGCTTCAGCAACTCGGTCTGGGACCAGACTTTATGAACATGAGCCTGAAAGTAGAAGCAGTAAAAGAAAAAATAAACAAATGGGACTACATCAAACTAAAAAGCTTCTTCACAGCAAATGAAGTCTTTATGTCAGAGATAAAATACTAACAAAGGCTCATAGACTAAAACCAGCAAGATAGGGCTTAGTGACTTGCATGAAACTGCCTCTCGGGAAGTAGAGTGGAGAGTAAGACACAGGTAGAGGATTAGAAAATATGTTTTTACTATGTTTTTGACAATAGCACACAAGAAACACTCTTAGGATGTTAAGTGACCCAAGGAATAGGATTTGGGGAGAAAGTAACCTGTTTATGCACACAAAGTGGATTCAAGTTTGCAGAGACTAGACATGGACAGTGACTCAACAGAACAGACATAGTGGTTTAAACCAGAGAAGAGCAGTGAGGTCTGCAAAATGTGAGGAATGAACAAAGCTAGAGTGAGGAAGACGTGCAACCTGATGGACTGGGGTGGATGAGAAGGACGCAGGAGGTGGCAGATGACAGAAAGCTCACAGCCCGGGTGAATACAGCAAGAGGAGGCCACGCGCTTACCTTGGGGACCCTTGTGTAGGAGTGCTATTAATTAAATCACTCTTGAGGGAGTGATAGGTTGTGCACGTTGTTTTGACCTTCAGGTCCTGAGTCAAACTCTCATATCAAAGCTTGAGATCTCCACACTTTACAATTTTGAGTGCCATATCTTGGCAAATATAATTCTATTAGGCATTTCATTGCACCCAAACATTGATCAGAATTTGTCCTGTCTTTATGTCTTTCTTTTAATTTGTCTTTATGTCTCCACAATAGGAATGAGAGACCAATGATTATTGTACTTACAGGTTATTAAGAGCACTGATCTCTTTGAGCCTTATAGCCTATCAATAGGCTTCTAAACAGAGTAAATGGGGTTCTTCATGACACTAAATCTTTTCACTCAGTCACTCATTCAACAAATGAGAGAAATTTGCATTTTTAATCAATCAATCTCTTTTTCTCTTCCTTTCCCCCAACTGTTATTCTGGCTCTGGATATTAAGGTGTCAAAGATGGTGATGATGAAGTGGTGGGCAGAAAATACATTCTGTACACCTTAGGGAGTTAGATCTGGATCTAGACATTGCCAGTCCAAGACAGCTTAACTGAAAACAAATTCATAATTAACATGTAAACAAACAGACGCACACACATACACATACACAGAGTTTTGCATGACTCAAGATTTTTATTTTTATTTATTTTTTTTTT